GGTTCCCGTTAAGGAAAGCTGTCTAGACATCCATTTTCCCAACCTCATAATCCATATGGACGGCTACAGCCAAGAGAATCCGAATGGACTTAAGCATAGCTACTGGCGAAAAGGTCTCATCATAATCAATACCCTCGATCTGGGCATAACCTTTCGCAGCAAACCTATCTTTGAAGGTTTGCACCTTTCCATCCGATCCTCTCTCTCTCTTATAGATCCACTTACATCCAATGGGTCATATCCCATCGGGTGGTTCTACAACATTCCAGACTTGATTGGAGTCCATTGATCCCATTTCAGCTTTCATTGCAACATTCCATGAATTTGCATCTTTATCTTGGAGTGCCTCATCGTAAGTTCTTGGGTCCGATTCTAGATCTCCTGGAACTGAGTCGATGACTCTCCAAGACCTATCCATCGGTCGGGTAAATGAGAAACCCTCCCACTGAAACGAGGCATTGTCTGCACTGGTACACTCTCAGTGTGCCGTGTTGCAGTATTATGTGATGTATCTACTTGCGCACTCGGTAGGAAACTATCGACTTCACCTCTTAACTCCTCTAAGACTAGTCTACTCGCTGGGCGCTGGGACGCGCGCGTACACACCTATTTGGAAACCAGCTGGAAGGTCGAGGTTTGGTTGCATACACTGGCTCGGGGAGTTCGTGCGTTCGATGATGACGGCTGCAACTCTCGTACGAATCAACGGTCGGCCCCTAGGTTGGCCTCGCGTCTCTCAGCACGGGCGTGCGTGCTCAGCCACAACTTCGCATGGCTACACAAGGTCATGGTCGGCTCTTGGTCTAAGGTTCCACAAGGAATTTACAATCCAAGACAATCCAAAAAGGAATTGGTTTTACCAAATTTCGAAAATTTTTGGGTTTAAGAATACAATATATATTTCAGGCATTCCACAATTTTCAAAAGTTCAAGGGTTTTAGAAATAGCAAGGTGCAAATCCGAGTTCCAAGTCCACTTCCTTTCCAAACGACACATTTTAATACGCGAAGAGATCAACGATTGAGATAGACAAGAATTCTCAAAGAAATTCTAATACGGTTATTCAATCGGGAATAATCTCAAATCAGCAGTTCCTACCGAGAGATACAATAACTAGCTTACCTCGACTCTTCCGACCAACAGCGTCGGCCGTCATGTCATCTCTTACTCAAGTAGCTAATCGTGCCAGCAGTCCTAAACGAGCGCAACTCATTTTTCACTTCCTAATCTTCTCACTTCGGAATTCAAGCCTGAAGTTCTTCCCATTACAATGTCTCCGTTCCCATCTTCAGATGTTCTTGCTACGTCCTGGTGTTCTCAGGAATATGCCGAGACGTTATCGAGGTAAAATACAACGACTACACATTTCATGGCAGTCATCAGCGCGTGGCTTAGCCCGAAAGGCATCACTACAATATCGCGGTACTCTTGTCGGGTTCCATTGGGTGTCTTGACAACATCTTGAAATTAAATTAGGATATCATCAATAAGGGCGATGACATACTGACCCTGATATGAATGGAATACTCAGTCCGTTAGGTCCACTGAAACGGCGGGGGATCACTCAGTACGAAAGACACAACCATAATTTGAAGAATTGGTACAAGACAAGTGGAACAAAAATACTTGTCTTAATTGATTCACAAGGTTGCAACACAAAAATAAGAACAAATTGTTTGTAAGGGATCGCAAGTCCCAAGACAACAAAATATTTCTCCCGAAATTCTGAAAGGAGTAAAAGAACGAAAGTTCCTACGATGGACAAAATTTAGAATAAGGACGATTCTGCACCATACGATGTGCTTGCTCCGAACTCGACTATCCTCCTTCAAAGATTTCACCATAATCTTTTAAGGTGGAAAACACTCTTTGATATGCGTCAAATCACTCTACTTTCTTATTGAACCGATTTGTGTTGGCTTCTGCTCCTGTTCGTTCATTTCGACACCGTGCGTGAATAGTTATTGTCTTCCTTGAAGGTAAGTCACCCTCGGGAATGGCGACGAAAATCGTGCCCTCATGTTTTCGTGATAAAGTAGTGATGACATCACGACGAAAAGCATATACTTCACAAACGAACAAAGACAAGCAGAAACAAAAAGGTGCTTAATCTTATTTGCAATCAATTCTCCCAAAATAAAGTCAATACCCAACACAAGATAAATAATAATCGGCTAAACTCAAGAGAAAACGAAATTTAAGGTTGGAAAGCTTGAAAATTTGATTACACAGCGAAACCAAGGTAGGGGTTTGAACACGGCTATACCCCAATCAAAACGAGAAAAAGAACTAGGTCGATCGTAAACCTCCAGAGTCTATGACTCGCCGCCTATCTCAAGGCTATTGTATTCCCACGAACTGCAACATAACTCGCTCTCTTGAACTTTTCGCATCGAGTTAGAGGTATCACGAAACAAGTTTCAAAAGATAAGGATCAACAGAAGATCAAAATGTCGATGCTAAATTCCACCTGAATTTGTACGCCAGGGAGGGGAAGATCAAGTGAAATTTCCAGAGTACGAAAATTGAATAACAAATAGAAGCCTCAAGTACAATTCAACATTGCTTGTCATGCGAAAATGGAATAAGCAAAGGTTTGCAAAAGTCTACAGGAAGACAAAAATTTCAAAAATGAAGCAAGACTGCTTCGCCTCCATGAGTCCACGAGTCACTGCTTCCATCATCTGTTCAAGCTGTTCCCAGTAAGTCCCACTGCCGCTAGGAATTCGATCGCGGCTCAATATACGGAAGAGAATTTCGATGTCTTTTCAAGACATAAATGTCACTCGAAATTGCGGCATAAAAATTCACGCGGTGTCGGATCGGTCTATCCGCCTTAGGAACAAGGTCGAATTCCTTCGTTTGAGAATTTTCTCAAAAGAATAGGTCACTATCGTCTTTCTCGAGGCTTAGCCACTCTCGAGAGTCGCAACGGTGTTACGTTTTAAGTTCTCTCACCACTCATCGTGGTCGAACAACAGCGTGGACAAGGCACCCAGACTCTACTCCCACTTCGCATTCGACTGGGTTCTAATACGCGTCTAATGGTCTTATTAACCATGGTTACAGAATTCATAATATCCCACACACCTAGGACTTCTTCGGTCGTCTGCTCACTTCACTTAAGCCTTCTCTTTTCGAGATGGCCCGCGAATGGTCCTCACTCGAGGACACTAAGTTTTACAGCGAGAGCACTACTATAAACAGACATATTGAATTTCCAAACAAACAAATTCTCAAGTCAGAACCTAACTCTATACCGCTAAAGTTCACGTTCATACAACTAAGTTCGCCACTCATCTAGAGTTCAAGAATGTTTAAAAGCAGGAGGATAAATTCCTAAGCCCCGATTTACATCTTATAATATCATAATATTTCACATAAGCAATTCAATATTACTCATGTAATCATACCTGAGTTGGCGCGGCACGACGGAAACGAGTGGTCATAACTACATCGTAGTATTCAATTATTTCTCAGAGTCCACATATATCACATAAAGCAGTCTACAAAAATGTAGACCTGCTCTGGTACCACACTGTAACGCCCCACTTTGATTTAAACGAAAATCCATGGCTTTTCAGAAAAACTAACTTAAAATTTTTTCAAAATTCATTTCAAACGTTTGTGGCATTACTCATTTAATTCAAAATGTTTTTTCATGACATAACATCAAGTCATAACATAATTCATCAATCATAAAATTCAACTCCCATAAAGGGTTCATCCAAAATCATCCATCACCCAAACCGGGTTTTCAAAATCATCACAGTGTTCACGGGGCATCTCCCCATCATTATTTTAAAACGTAAAATATTCTTGAGTTCATAAATTCGTAAAATCATAAATCAGTTCATCATAGCGGAAGCAACAAATAATTAATCAGGTCATAAAGACCGACCACCACTCGCTCCACTCCGCCGTCATGTCTGCCCTGCTCAACCAAGGTGGGAATGAGCACATATGGAAACCGTGGTGCGCACCACTATGCAATAAACATTAATCATAATATCAACAGGTACGATCGTAGCATGTATATGAATCAATTACTTATCCCAATCATAAAATCACAGAGTCAAGACTCATGTGCACACCTATGCATAGACTAATGCTGGTAGACGTATCGAATGCCCCTCGGGCTTTACGTCTATGCGCCTCGGGCTTATACACCGAATGTCCCACAGGCTTCTATCGATGCCCAGCCAGTAGGAGTAACCCCACAGGTTTGTTTATAGCTACGGGGACAACCGTTCGATGGCCGATACAGCTCACATCGAAGGCTACATGGTTCACATGCATACATTGATCATATCACACATAAGACAACAATTTATTGCATAGCAATTCAAATAAAACCCACCTGGTAACAACAGGAGATAAAGCATAAGGATTTGATAGGAAGGCGAGCTTGACTCGTCAAACACCTACATTAATTAAGAGGGTCTGATCAATAACTATTCGAAACATGGATTTACTAACTTAAGGCATCTAAGACTCATACCATCATCACTAGTTCAACTTATCCCATATAAATCATATAAGCATGCATTAAAAAGTAAACTTTATTTTCGAAAACACAACATGAGTTTTTCGAAACTTAACCCGCGCAGCGATTTTAAAATGAACACCCTATATTACCGGCCGATACGGTATAGTATTTAAAACACTGATTTAACCAAAAAAATATCACTTAATTTTGAATTCCCGTTGTACTCTACACATTATTTGTAACACTGTGCACTAAAAAAAATCTCATTTTTCTTCAATTTTTATTTTTCATACAATTGAATAGTGAAATCACTTTTGACTAGTGAATTCAATCACAACCTCACATTTTTTTGAGTGGAATTATAAAATTTCTTTTCAATCCTTCACATATTTCCTCACTTTTTCAAGTGGGATTGTAAAATGTCCTTCTCAATCATTTCCTTTTCCTAAGCTTTTTCATAGTGCTCATTATAAATAAGATTTTTTTGAGAGAAGAATAAAACACCAAAGGAAAAAATAATCGAAATCTATTTACTTTTGCACATAATGAAAAAAAAATATATATTTAATGAAAAAAGTAGGCAAATACAATCGACGGGTGAAACCATTGAGCACGTGAGTGACCATTTTTGTTCAGTCCTTCCCAAAACCCAATCGCATAACCCAAACACACCACAGTAAGAAAACAAGAAAAAGATAAGAAAAAAACAAAAAAAGCTCATTTTCCGGGAAGCACACAAAGGGAAAAGAAAAACTGTTCCGCGGCCACCTCACCGCCGCCTGCAGCCACATTCCGCCTCGTCGGAAGAGTACAATCGCCGACATCATCTACCCATGGACTCGCCGGTCACGCCGGGCCGGACCTCCGCGTCCGGCCGCTCATCCGTCATCGATTCACTGCGCGGATGCACGCTCTCCGGCGTCCGAATCCCTAAGGAGGAGCTGAAGATGAAGATCACCTGCCCGGAGTACATACGACTCGCCATGAGGGAGGCGATCCGGACCAAGGACGTGGAGGACACCGGGGTGTTGAAGTTTTACGACGCGGCTCGCGCGGAGGGAGCCGAAGCGGCCGACCCGCCTGAGTTTCCGCTGGTCGTGTTCATCAATTCCAAGAGCGGCGGGCGCCACGGGCCGGAACTCAAGGCACGCCTCCAGGAACTCATGGGCGAGGAACAGGTGAATATGACGTGCATTCTGACGTTGTGCGTAATAAATGCGTAATTTTCAAGTGCACAAATTGAATTTCTTCTGTCTGCGGCAATTTGATTTGGTGTGCTTGTTACGTTACTTACCTTGCGTGCTGACAGACGTGATTGTGGAATCATTTTTCCTCTACCTTGCTTATTTGGTCCTTTTCATTTTATTTTGTTTTTATATACATATAGTTTTAGATTAATAATCTGCTGGGTTGATAATTGCATCATAAATGTGTNTGGAACAATTTCTTCATTTCCTTCATGAGGAATATGTGTTTGCAACATTGCTAAACAAAATAGGCATGCCATTCTTAATTGTGAGTGATGAGGAAGTTACCGTAAAGCTAATAAGCTTCTTGATTCCTCAAGGGACTGAAGAATATCTTCAGAATAAATTGTTAACAAAAAATCCCGCCTGTATCATAAAAAATTTAGAGAACACTTTATATATAATGCAAAATCTGTTATATCTAAACTAATGCAAGATCTTAACGCAAATGTTGTATTCTAAGCACTTTCTGCCAAGTATAGCAAATGAGTAATAAGATCTATTGTAACATGTTCAGATGTATAGAGGCTGCAATATACATCAGTCTTTTGCTAATTCTGTGCGCCAGTGAAATTGCCTATAATAACTGCAGGTTGGGTTTCTACGAAATTTTTTGTCGTTGATTTTCTTTCCGTGCAACTTTTAAAGCTGTACAATCCAAAAAAAAATGGCATGTACTCTTGGAAAGTGATATCACTGTAAGTGTTGGTCCCCTCCATGGCGCCTTCGTTCACCTTCCCTCTTATTGCTAGACAAAGTAATTATGTCAAATACTATGTGTTTTGGCTGGAATTAGTGTTGTAAAAATCGCTTGGTGTTCTCTAGGTGGTAGACTTGGGCCTAGTGCCTAAGCAGGATCAAATCAAAGGCTAGGCTGGATGTAATCAGATGAAATATGCAGGCCTTCATAGGGAGCCTAGCACCTAGCAGGATCTAATCGGAGCCTTGATGAGATCTAATTGAAGGCGGATTAGATATAGTGCTAGGCAGGATATAATCAGATGAATTATGTAGGCTGTCATAGAGNTGTGTTTTACTTGGATGTAGGTGAAACTTTTACAACCGCGATTGCAACTACCATGAAAGTATTCACTTTAAGATAAATGAGCATGCATGTTCCCTCTAGGTCTTATGCTTGCAACATTCAAATATATTGTTTGAAGTTTATTACCACAAATATTGGGTCATGTTTGTTTATAGAAATTTTTTGTTTTGTTTGGATTTTTTGGTTTGGTTTGGTTAATTTTGAAAAATGTGTTATAGTTAGTTGTTAGTGGGTATATTAAAATAATATATAAATAAAATAATTAAAATTGATTTGATGGAAAAGTAGGAGAGACATGATTTGAAGTAATGGTTAGTTAAAATAATGTGAATGAATGAATAGTGAATTAAGGTTGATGTGGTGTGTATGAATGGTTGATTGATATTATTTAATTATATTTATAATATTGATGATAGTGGAGTTGAGGGAAAGTTGAGTTAAAAAAAATGATTGAGTTAAAATGTTGGAAATTTATTGAAAATTTCTATAAACAAACATGCTCTGGTTTTCTGTAAATCTTACTCTTTCCCTTTAATACACAGGTTTTTGAGCTTTCATCTGTGAAGCCTCATGAATTCGTCAGATATGGATTGTATTGCTTAGAGAAGTTTGCTGATCTTGGAGACAATTGCGCAAAAGAGATTCGTCAAAGACTTAGGGTTGTGGTATGACTCTTAATCTGTAATTCTTATTTACCTAATATAAATCACAAACTGCCTATACAAACACATTGCTCGTCATTGGTCTTCTTGTCTTAAACCTGTGACTTTGCCATCTCGTATTTGACAGGTTGCTGGAGGTGATGGTACTGTCGGCTGGGTCCTGGGCTGTCTTGGTGAGCTCAACAAACAAGAACGACTGCCTGTGCCCCCAACTGGAATTATTCCACTTGGTACAGGAAATGATTTGTCAAGGAGTTTTGGATGGGTAATGTTTCTCGTCTGCACATGGCCTTTCTTTTCTGCATATAAGCTGTCCTGAGTTCATAAACGATTTATTTTCAGGGTGGCTCATTCCCTTTTAATTGGAAAGCAGCAATTAAAAGAACACTGGACAAGATCACTACTGGCCCTGTTGTTCATCTTGACAGGTGAGGTGTTAGTTTGATCGTTGATCAGCCTTTTCAGATTATGCCCCTGAAACTGACTGTATGTGCCATTGTTAGATACACATGTGATGCCCTTAAAATGGCTTGTTTTCTCATCTTGTACCATTAGTCTACTATTTCTATATATATTCCAATTTCTGCAAATGTTTTATTGACGAAAGAGTAGGACCTATTGTTTTAATAGAAAATTTATTGTCCAGGTATTTATCATTTTCTATTGTTTCTTTACTTCTGTAGCCTTTTCCATTTTAGGAAACACATTTTTCTATTTGCAGTTGGCATATGTTGATATCAACGCCAGCTGGGGAGGAGTTGGAGATACCTCACTCCCTCAAGCCAACAGAAGAAACTCCTCTTGATCAGGTTTGTGGGCGAAGGTTGGATTTCTTTTTTGTCTGACCCATTTTTCTTAGTAGCCACTCAAAAGATTACAATTATCAATGATTCCACTTTATCTTGGTTTGCCACCATCAAGTTGCCTGCTCATTTCTTAGAAAAGAACACTAGTTGATACATCACATGGGAGTTGATTTCTTATGTACGAGGGTTGGCTAGCTTGAGCCTTGGTGTAAATGCATTATCTTTATCTTACTGATTTATTTCTCAAAAAAGGTAGGTATCATATTTCTAATATTCTTACTGGAGAAGTTAGATAGGTTATTTTATTTAATATTGTGCTGCATTTACGGATGAAATTAGTTTAAAGTTGTGAATATTGCAGAAATGTTTTGATAGAAGACAACTTTGGTCAAGTTTGTTTAATTGTGAAGCATGACTTCATCAGTAACTTGGGGACCACACATATTTTGTTTACTTACAGTGTATAATCTGTTTATTTTGTTGGAGCATTAGCTAGTCTTATCGAGGGCTACCAATCTACTGCTTAAGATAATGGGTTCTTTTTTGTTTTCCGTTCTATTTCTTCATTTTACAGGAACTGGAAGTTGAAGGAGAGTTGCCGGAGAAGGTCTCCTGCTATCAGGGAGTCTTTTATAATTATTTTAGCATAGGTCTGCACTTTTTATATTTTAGTAATGTCTTTGGCTATGTGTATTCACCCTTCCTACTGAAAAACATATGTAAAATGTTTGCAGGAATGGATGCTCAAGTCGCTTATGGTTTCCACAATTTACGCAATGAGAAACCTTATCTGGCTCAGGGTCCAATATCTAATAAGGTGCAAGTTCTCTTCACCCTACAAAAGAATCACAGAACTATGCACAAATTCAAAATATCAGACTGGAAAATATTGGATCTTTTTCTTATGTTGAGAAAATATGTTCTTTTATTGACCTTCCCAAAAGTTCTTGTCACGGTATTTCAAATTTCTGATTCTCTTGTAAGGCATAGAAAGCTTAAAATTAAGAGCAAAAGGAAGTACAATATAATGATTTAGCACTTGATGTACTCTAATGAGTAGGATACTGAAATCTATAATTTCTGTTGCAAATCTTTAAACCGTGAAAAACTGAATGTTTTCAGCAGACTTGGGTCAGTTGTATGTGAATGTTGTTGATGTATAGCAGCAAAAATGTTTACTATTTGTTCTATACTTCAGATTATGGAAATAAAGGCTCGGTGGTAATCTTCTGGAAATCGAGTAATTATTCGATTTTTTTTCTATCAGGTTCAGTTTGAGTTTGTCGGTGACAAATGTATGTCTTGATAATTTTTTCAACGTGCTTGATACATTTGTTGGGAATTCTGCCCAATTGATCACCATGCACCTTTCCTGACACAAGTTATATGATTCATTTGCGTCATGAAAAATATCCACACTGTAAATTGTGCCTTTTGAATGCAGTTAATCTATTCTGGGTACAGTTGCAAGCAAGGGTGGTTTTTCACGCCATGCAGCAGTGATCCTGGTTTAAGGTCAGATTCTCCTTTGAAAAACACATGGAATATGAGAAATATGCCCAAACCACATCTTTTGTGCCCTAAATTTACTGAGACAAATTTCTCAAAAAAAATATCATACAAGAGAACTGAACACTAGTTAATGGGGTTTGCTTTCTTATGTCATTATTCTGACTCTGACTGTTTGTAATCATATCTAATCTACATCAGTAATATCTTATGGAGAGCTATCAATCACACACAGCCCTCACAATTAAGATGCAGATTTTCTAAAACAAACCAGATAAAAGTATTTCATGTTTTTGTTGGGCAGGAGTCTGAAGAACATCTTGAGGATATATGCTAAGAAGGTCAATTCTTCGATCTGGGAGCAAGTTCCTGTTCCATCAAGGTTGATTATTATTATTTATTTATTTTCCTTTTCATATAATCTGAACTAATGACATTTACATAACACAAAATCATTAAAATTTTCAATGCTGCTTATACCATATTACTCAATTATTTTCCTTCTCTGACTTTTGTTGCCTTCTGCTTTTTATCTGTGTCGGATTTCTGTGGATTTTCCAGTGTGAGGTCTGTAGTTGCTCTTAACCTTCCTAGTTATGGAAGCGGTAGAAATCCATGGGGCAATTTGAAGCCTGAGTATTTAGAGAAGGTATATTAAATTTGTATTTTGGCATGCATGCATTGTTCATTTCTCGTGTTAAGTTGATGCACATGTATTATGACTATAAGATAATTTTTTGGATGTTTTGCATAAGAGCCCCTTTTTGTGATTCAACTGGGTTCGTTTGAGAATGAAAACCCTTTTTATTTTTTTTACTTTTTTGTGCTTGTGAAGTTCAAACTGTTTGTAATCTGCGTATTGAACCATGCATGCGCATCGCATCATGTATGTTACTCACTTTTTCTTC